CCCCAGGTAGCTTTTTACAAGTACAGATGCCCTGGCCCTGTTCCCAGAGCTTCCATTCCGTGGATCTGGGGTAAGAACTAACCACTTGGATATTTTAAATGGCCACAGGTTATTTTTGAGGTGCAACCAGGATTGAAAGAGTATAAAAATTTGGATTTGGAAAACCAGCTGTGACTTTGGGCAAGGTATTGAATCCAAGTCTGTTTCCTCATTCATATATTGGACAATTTACAGAATTTTCTAAGAATACATGGAGAAAGTGCCTTCTAAATTCTGACACATTTGCTCTTCAAGATCAATAGGCAGTCTAGTGAGTGGAAGTTTAATCACAGAGGACTTCGTACTTCTGCATGGGGCATTTCAGGGAGGGCTGGCCTCAGTGGGCTGCATGACCTGAAATCTGGGAATATGTGGAATGAGAAATTATGATTACCTGAAAATAGGGAGGGTTCCAAACTCCAAACTTCTCCAGGCTGCCTCATTTTAACTTCCTTTAGATTTGCCACATGGTTCCTTGTGGTTCTTAGTTAAGCCCCAGGAAGAAGGTGAGGAAGAAAATTGAGGAAGAAAAATGCAGTTGTTTCTGGGAAGGAGAAACAGGATATGTTTCCTAGACCAGTGGTTTATAACATTTTCCCAGGAGGGAACTTTATTTTCCTTAATGGATTAATATCTTTATATTTAATTAACAAAATTTTCCTATTTCCATCAGATTACCTGTTGGGGAGCAGTCAGCTTGGAATAATCATACAAAGGGGAACGTATATCTGCATTTGCATCAGATGTTTTAGGAAGGATACACAGAAACTTGGGTCCAGGGAGGGAGGAAGACTTACAAAAGGGTATATAATGAAAACATCATTTGAATGTTTAATCATGTGCATATATGATTTTAAATATGCGTATATATGCATATATGATTTTAAATCATGTGCATATGTATTTCAGTTCTTGAAGAAATCCCACCTGGTTAATTATGAATGGCAGAGGCTTCTGGGGCCCTCACAGATTGTAAGCTCCATGCAGGGGGACACAGAGACTTGTTCACTGCTGAGCCATGACTAGCATGTTGCCTGCATGTTGGATGTACTCAGTGAATATCTGTTGAATGGATGAATGGAAGTCTAACTAGGGAGCAATTTAGAAAATGGTAACAAATCTGTTAGATTAATACCACACAGTCATTAAAAGGATAAATAATTATGAACAAGAAGAAACATGGAACATTTTTAATAAATGAAATAAACAGAACTTCAGTATGACTGCAGTAATGGGAAACATTCCAATATTGCCTGTATATGAATAAAGGCAAAGTCATATGAGGAAATGGGGAAATTCCTTAATCTTAGAAGAGGTTAAATCTATGGTCACATGGTCCTATATAGTTAGACTTGCTATATAGCCCATTAAGAATCAGAAAGAGTACAACCAAGGTATTCTTAAGACATGCATTGCTAATTAACACAGATTTTCCTTTGTCGTTTTGCCTTTCTATGAAGGGTTTTCAGAATGGCTGCAGCTCCTCAAGCCTCAGGGAGGGGCTCCGTTCGGAAGACAAGACCTTTAACTGTAAAGATTTCGCTGAATAACCCATATGCTATCTGCTGGAGTGTTCTGGAGAGGGAGGATATGCACTTCATATTACAGACACTTGAGGACAGATTTAAATCTATTGGACTTCAGAAGATTGAGGAAAAAAAGAAAAAAAAGCAGCCTTTTTTAAAAAAGCCAAGCAGAGACAAATGTAGTATAGATGTCGATATTAGAGAGGATCTGAAGGAGAAAAAACCAGAAGGTAGCCAACAAGTGTCAGGATGGACCCCTGTGCCCGTCAGGAAGCAACTTGCTATTGGCATTAATGAAGTTACCAGAGCTCTGGAAAGGAATGAACTGCTTTTAGTACTGGTGTGTAAGTCAGCCAAGCCTGCCATCCTCACCTCACACCTGATTCAGTTAAGTGTCAGCAGAACTGTTCCTGCTTGTCAGGTTCCCCGGCTCAGTGAAAGGATTGCACCTGTCATTGGCTTAAAGTGTGTCCTGGCCTTGGGGTTCAAAAGGAACACCAGTGATTTTGCCTATGAAGTAAAAGCCATAATTCCCAGGGTACCCAGCTTAAATGTACCATGGCTACAAGACAGACTTGAAGACTCCAGGGAAAATTTCGAGACTGAGTCTTTGGAAAGCCAAGACAAAGAGATGTTGGAAATTTCCTTTGAAGACCTCTCTCAACAAAAGAGAAAGCTTGTTGAAGGTCATCAGGCTGTAGTGTTACAACCCCTTAAAATAAAGAAACTGATTCCAAACCCCAATAAGATAAGGAAACCACCCAAAAGTAAAAAAACTACTTCAAAGTGATCTTGTGTAAACTTGTCATTTCATACAGTTGTAAAATGACACCTTGTAAAGAAGCCTTAAAACTAATAAAATTAATTACCTTTACCTTTTTTCTTGGGATACTGTTCAGTAATGTTCCTTTGAAATGTGTAAGACTAACTAGCTCAGATGCGCTGATGCTTAAAAATACTTAAGTACAGAAAATATTCTAAAGTATGAATATCAAAAGTTTATTGAAAACGAATGTCCATGCTTGTACAAAATTACTTTTTCAAATGCTTGTAAATAAGTATATTTGTATCCTACAACACTTAACATCTTTCTATCAAACTTGGAAAATGTGCTACAGCAAAAATGGTCCCAGGTAGTAGGGTAGATGGAACTGACCTGCAGTGCAGATGTATCCTTTTTAAAGAAAAGATATTAAATGCCAAGCAGTATATTGTCTTCAGAAACAATGTCATTTTTTACTTCCTGTCGATTTGACTTTCTGGTAGGCATAAACTAAGCATGGGCTTGGGGAGAAAGGTGTGATGTTTACAGAAAAAGCCAGATAAGGTATTTTGATCAGTTAGAATTCACTTTTACATGGTCCTTGGAAATTTAAGATGGGTAAACGATGGGTCCTTTGTAGTAGGAAATGGAGAGTAATCAATGCTCCATATTAAAGTGTCTGCTGTTTACTTGTGTGTTTGGAAAAGTTACTTTCTGTAATTTAGGGGAAAGTTATTGGACTGCCAAAAAGTTTGTTTAAGCCTAAATTCTGGCTGACTCTTGGATTATGTCACCCTTAATGCCATCTTGGCAAAAAAAGAAATGGCATGGGGGAAGAATACCTCATGGAATACAGTATTTCTATTACAAATGATGCAGGACAATGTCATTTCTTAAAATCTGCAAGACATCATGTATTGCACTGAAATTTAGTTCTAATGGCTGCTTTATTAATAAAGCAGTTTTATCAGTTGTCTGTTCTAAAATGTCCATTGGTAATCTGCTTAAATTATAAAGTATTATAAAGCAGCAAATGTGCTAGTTAATTACTGTATTTAAAAATGAGTAAAAGAATATAAATTATATAACAATTGGAATAATGGAAATGAATAAAGGAACAGTGCAACGGCTTCATCATGAGTGCTTGTGACAGAATTTCTGGCAATTCTGCAATTATTTCAAAGCCTCCTTTGAATAAACCTGTGCAATAAAAATGAATGGAATGTAATTCCCAACTACAGTCTCGACTCCAGATTGTTAGTCTTGCTATTTAATTCTAGTGTTTCAGTGAATTGGTTCAGTTTTCCTTCTGAAGTCATGCTCCTGCTAAGAAAGAATGGTAATGTAGTTACTAGGCATGAGAAGTCGCCCCTTGCGTCTTCAGGAAGGGAAAGCACGCTGCCTTGATTACGCACTAGTGCGGGGCCCACGCATGCCCTCTAGTGGTGGTCTCAGGTGGCACAGCGGTGGGTTCGTCTTTAGAATAACGGCAAATAAGCTGCGGAAAGTGGCTTTCAGCTCCTTAGTGTAAATCAGGGTCAACAAATTTCTTTTTGTAAAGGGCCAGACAGTAAATACGTAAGGTCTTTCAGACCATAAAACTCAGCTCTGTCTTTTACAGTGTGAAGCAGCCACAAGCAATACATAAATGAATGCGTGTGGCTGTGTTCCAATAAAGCTTTATTTATGGATGCTGAAGTTTAAATTTCATATAATTTTCAAGTGTCAAAAAATGTTATTCTTTTGTCCCCCTCCCACCACCATTCAAAAATGTAAAAACCATTCTTAGCTCATGGGCTGTACAAAAACAGGTGACAGACTGGATTTAGCTCATGGGCCTGTTAGCTAGCTCCTGCCTGGTATAAGATGTGATTGGTTTCATTTGACTACTTATAACACGAAAGAAAGGCTGTTATGTTGTCTAAAGTAATTAAATTTTTCTGGACTGAGCAGCCTAGGCACTGGTAGAGTAAAGGCAAGAAAAAGTATCTGTTTTGTGGTATTTGAGTCAAGGTCAGCTTTATGTGGCCTCATTCAGCATCTTTTTACTCCTTGGACTATTTCCAATATATAAACAAATATGTACACTGAGAAACTTAGTTTTTCAAATTCTAGGTAAAAACACCATCAGTAACAAAACTGGGAACTTATTTACACATTAGACATTTTCCATTAGCATGACAACTTGCATGATAAAGTCAGCGTAAAGGAATATGTGCAATTTTGCATAAGTAATAAAAACATTCAAACTATCACTCCTGATAGCACTAATAAATTCCACTGGGCATTTATTTTGACTTCAGAGCTTTTTTCTATCATCACAAGTCCTTGCTATTGCTGAGAAAAACTGGAGTCTGTGCAGCAAAGTCTAGTCAAAGGTGAGTACTCTCGGCACATTAATATTTGCACAGAACTGTGCTTTTGAACTAATCCTGAACTGACCTGATGAACATCAAAGTACAAATCTGTGTTTACTGATTTGGCAACTTTGCTTCTGGAGAAATAGCACATTTTTATCTCACTCTACATTTAAAACATCCACCACTCATCACTGAGTTACACAAGTGCTGATTCCATAAATGTTCCCAATGATAACATGTAAAGTGATGTAAGTTAGAATTTCCCAAATGGATCCTTCATTCTGTTTCATGGACAAACAGACCACCACTTAATAAATAGAAATGCAGCAGTTTATCATCACACAATAGCAAAGATTTTCTTACAGGATTCTGTAACTTCTGTTCAGTCCATAGAAAAACAGTCTCTTTTCTACAGTAGAAAAGTACCTTTTCTTTATCAGGAGACAGCCAAAAGTTTGAAAACTAGAGGAATGTACTCTGTACCTTCCATCCCTCCTACAAATGGGTCAACAGTGAAAAAAAGGATGAATGTTAATGTTCTAGCTAGAAATGTTTACTATTGTTCACATATGGATTTTTTCATCTTTTCTGATTGGGGTACCGACCACATCAATTTCACTTAAGTTGTGCTTTTTACTCTTCTTTGGAATGGCAGTTCCAGGAATCACTAAATAGAATATTGACAAATTATCAGAGTTCTAGAAATATATCCACCTATTGTAATACAAGTCCAACCTAAAGGGAGGGAAGAAATGGAATAGTAAGAACAAGTTAGCAAGAAAAATTAAATTATGATATATTAAAAAGTTACTAAAAAAACACTTAATCCTAAGGAAAGCAAGCATGGGATTTCTTAGGCAAATTTATTAAGTTTATAAAGGGTACATTAACTTCACTTACCTTTTCAGAATCTGTTCCTGGACACCTCCAATTGTACAAGTAATACTGTAAATTGCCATCTCCTATACCAAACTTGAGTTTTTCCAAGAATGTCTTATTTTCCATCAAATCTAGTGCATTGAATACATCAAATCCTTTCTGCCAATGAAAAAGGGATTTAAAATGTAAAATCTCGAAGGACTAGAGGGTTTTCTATGTTATATATTTCAGTATAACATTTAATTCGTCTACTAACAGCTTGAGTATGCATTTATGAGGTTTAATGCATGCAATATATAGTATACAGGTTAAGAATTCAGTTCAAAATTATCCTAAAAATCTAATAGTATACCTGAGGGAGTCAGAAAGATAATCTAGAAATGCTGAATAAAAACATGTGGTATGTTTGCTAACACTGACATAATCTATTTAGTTTTCAGGAAATATTTTTTCCCTTTTTTAGAAGGAGCAGTTGCCTAGATGGCTCTATCTTCAGAACTGTTTGTTATTGGCTTTCTAAAACTTATGACTTGACTGAAGCTACAGACAAGAAACCAAAGTTTTAAGACTTTAAATATTATATTGTCTTGGGCTGGTACTGGGAAATAAATTTAGTAAAATTTTAATAGTAAAAATCAAATTTATTTAATATGTTAGATGCTAATCCTATGTAAAACATGGCACAGATGAAGCACCTAAATTTCTATTTCTTAAGAGTTTTTACCTTAAGTAACTTATTACTGGCCTTTTTGGGGAAGTAATTGAAAATGTGCAATAGGATCAAAGAATCAGAGGATGATGCTGATTTGGGGACCCAAGACTAACAGATTAAAAAAATATATTTTCAATTATCAAATACTAGATAAAGGCAAGGAAGATACTTTTGATGTGTTGTTCCTATTTTCTCACATTCAATAATTACATCAAAATGTACGTTACCTGATTTCAATTTCTTTTCAAAGGAAAAAAATTTTTGTGACAAGAATTTAATAGTTATCCTATTACACTAAGAAGAAAGAAAAATAACAAATATAGTAAGGCATATTTCAAAATAAACCTTCATTTTAAATACCTTTAATTTAAAAATTAAATTCCTTTAATTAAAACATTTGGAGACTATTTGCTTGAATCAAAAAACTTGCAACACAAACACTTCTGTATCTTCCTTATACAGGATCATGTGTTTTTCTTAGACTTTTTCTATTATGGGCTTACGTATTCTTATATAAGGGTTTAAGGTTTCCAATTTGTACAAAATATCTTTTTGCTTAAGTTGGGACAGAATTAATGATGACACGAGCCACTAAAGTTTTAAAAGAAACTCTAACCAAAATTCTTTGACAGTCAACAGTAAACATATCTCAAATCAATTCCATGTATGTAAGAAAATACAGTAAGATGTTTTACATTCTTTGACATACATCTGGACAAAACCCAGGAGAAAAAGGAGTGAACCCACTTACCAACTTCGCTATGATGAGTGCGTCATTCATTAGGTCCAGCAGCGGCGTTTCGGTGTGGATGTTGTAGAAAGAGTAGGCGGCTTTGAGGCTCTTGTGAGCTGGGTGGTGCATGACTGTGGAGGGGAGTGTGTAGAAGCTCAGGAAGTCAGTTAGTTTACCACTGGAGTTCTAAAGAACAAAGGTAATGGCACATAAATATCTCCTGAAACAAATTTCATCCATGCATTTTAGCTAACTTTTTGATTTTTGACTTGCCCCTTGACTTTGTTAGAAAAAAAGCAACAACTCACACTTCTCTTTCAGCAGTCTGATGTGAAGCCCCTCAAAATATATTGAGTAGAGCCTGAGAAGGGCATGGAACTCCTCAACCTAACTGCTGATTGCTGATTTGCACAAAGTTCTTCAGTAGAATGGTCTAAAAGGCAGGCTTCCCTTGGGTTGACTAATGAGTCTCTCTAGTCTTGTGGAACAGTGATAAAAGCAGATTTTCACTGTTTTTGCAAAAGAGCTCTAGGGATTAAAAAAGGCTGCTTTCTCTAAATAAAAGATAGTGTATAATATCTAACATCTTGGCACAAGGCAAGAATTTTATTGGTTTAAAGCAAAATTGGACAGAGTTTAGAAGCTGTTTTTAGAAGCTTATGAAAGGACTGGTACTGCACCAAAATATGCATAGATATTACTTGAGAAAATCTAAAGCTATTAGAAATCAAAAGGGATGCAAAAGATGGTACTGATATCATCATCACTGGTACACCTTTCAATACAAGACATCAGCTGGTATTGTTCGGGTTGCTTTAATTAGCCATGGTGGCCTATGCTATGCATCTAGGGTGCATCTGAATTATACAGCTGAGGAGGCTAGACCACGTGCATGCCACTGCCTGTGTTTCTTTCAGCAGAAAATAACATTCTGTAGGAATGGATTATCTGGTTTTTTCAATGCTTCTGATCATTAAACTTTTTTTCAGACATTAAGAAATTGAAGACATTAAGCTAATGTGATTCTCTACTGCTCTGTATTAACAGCTAAGTATTAGAGATGAATTAAAGACCTAAACTTTCAGCTTAAATAAAATTTTTTCAACTTGAAAAATACAATAAATTTTTAAAGAAAAGAAAAAAAAACCTATTGGATGGGCTCAATAGTAGAGTGGACTGACAGGATACAAATCATTGAATCTGAACAAGTCAGAATTTATCCAATCTGAACAAACGAGAGACTGAAAAAAAAATGAATCCAGTTTCAGGGATGTGTGGGTCAGTAACAAAATATCCAACATTCATATAATTGGAGTCCAAGAAGGGAAGGAGAAAATGTGGGGCTGAAAGTGTATTTGAGGAAATAGTGGAATAATGGCTGAAAACTTCCCAAATTTGGCAAAACACACACAATAGTTTCAAGGAAGCTGAGTGAACTTTAACAGGTAAACCCAAAATCCACTCCAAGACATATCATACTCAAATTTATGAAAACTAAAGACAGAAAAATCTTCAAAGTAGCCAAAGAGGAACAATGTATTCCCTCTGGGAGAATCAATTCAAATGACATCAGATTTCTCAGAGGAAACCAGAGGCCAGAAGGAAGTGGCACAACACTTTTAAGTGCTCAAAGAAAAGAACCATCAACCATGAATTCTGTATCTGGTAAAACTACCCTTGAAGAATAAAGGAGAAATAAAGACATTCCCAGACAAGTGAAAATGAAAATAATTTGTTGCTAACAGACATACTTTAAGATTGGCCAACAGAAATTCTTTAAATAGAAAGGAAATAATAAAAGGGCTCTTGGAGCACCAGGATGGAAAATAAAATGATAGAAAAAGCAGAAATTTTGGTACACACTAGCAACATGCTTCTCATGAATTTTACAAATCTACTTGATGACCGAAACAAAAACTATAACAACATTTGATGCTCAAGACAATGCTATTCAAAAGTCAAGAAGGTAAAGGGACCCAAGTGGAAGTAAGGTCACTTGAAATAGTACAATATTGTGATGCCAGTAGACTGCTATAAGTTACATAGTGTAATACCCACAGTAGTCTTCAGGAAAACTACACAAATACACTCAAAGGCACTATAAATAAATCAAGACAAAATCCTAAAATAAATTTCAAGTGACTCACAGGAAGACAAGGAAAAAAGAAACAGAGGAACAAGAAACAATGGGAAAAAACAGAAACCTATAAAATGGCAGACTTAAGTTCCAACATATCAGTATTTACTGAATGTAAATGGTCTAAATACAACAATAAAAAATATCTGGCAGAGTGGTTAAAGAAACATGTCCCAACTATATGCTGTTTACAAGAAACTCACTTGAAATTGACACAGAAAAACTGGAAGTAAAAGGACTAAAAAAGAAATACTGTGAAAACATTTTTTAAAAAGTAGCAGTAGCTATATTAATATTCAATAAAGTAGACTTCAGAGCAAAGTAAATGACTAGAGACAAAGAGGGGATGACATGATGACAAAAAGAATGATCCACTAAGAAGACAGAGAGGTCCTATATGTGTAAGTTCTAAACAAGACCCTCAAAGTACACCATGAAAAACTGATAGAGCTCGAAGGCGAAATAGACAAATCCACAGTTACCTTTGGCAAATTTCATACCCTTCTCATCAACTGGCAGAATACCAGAAAGAAAATCAGCAAGCATATAGAAAATCTGAATAACACAATTGATAGGATATAACTGGCATATATATAATGCTCCACCTAAAAACCACAGAATATACATTTCCACATGCACATAGAACATTTACCAAGGTAGAATATATAAGCCAAAAACCATATGATTTTTCTTCTTTACTCTGTTAATATGGTATACTACATTGATTTTTGCATGTTTGACTACCCTTGCATTCCTAGAAAAAATCCACTTGATTATGGTGTATAAATCCTTTTATACATTGTTGGATTTTTGCTACTAATATTATTTGTGGAGTTCAGGAGAGATCTTGGTCGCAGTTTATCTTGTACTGTCTTTGTCTGGTTTTGGATCAGAGTAATACTGACCTCAAAGAGATTGTATAGAATTGGTGAAAATACTTTAAATATTTGCTAGAATTTGGCAGTTGAAAGCATGTGACCTTAAGAAAATTACTTTTTGTTAAAATCAATTTCTTTAATGGTATAGGCCTATTTAGATTATCTATTTCATCTTGGTTGAGATGAAATAGTTTGTGGTTTTTAAGAAATTGGCCAATTTCTCCTAAACTGTAAAATTTATAAGAGTAAAATTATTCACAATTATTTGTTATCCTTTTAATAGGCTAACAAGGATTCGGATGTAGGATCTATAGTAACATCACTTCATTGCTGATTTGGTGATTCATATCTTCTATTTTTGTCAGTCTTGCTTGTGTTTTGTAAGTTTTATTGATTTCCCCCCCACCCCCCAAAGAACCAGGCTTTTGTTCATTGATTTTATCTATTGCTTTCCTATTTTTAATGTCACTGATTTCTTTTTTTAATCTTTCAATTACTTTTATTAACATTTTTTATTATGATATCATTAATATACAATCACATGAGCAACACTGTGGTTATCAAGCTATCAAGTACCCACCACATACTCCATTGCAATCACTGTCCGTCAGCATAGTAGGATGCTATAGAGTCACTATGTGTCTTAGTGCTATACTGCCTTCCTGTGCCCCCTCCTACATTCTGTGTGCTAATCATAATGCCCCTTAATCCCCTTATACCTCCCTTCCCACCCACCCTGCCAAGTCTATTTCCCTTTGGTAACTGTTAGTCCATTCTTAGGTTCTGTGAGTCTGCTGCTGTTTTGTTCCTTCAGTTTGCACTTTGTTGTTATGCTCCACAGATGAGTGAAACAATTTGGTGCTTGTCTTTCCCTGCCTGGCTTATTTCACTGAGCATAATATCCTTTAGCTCCATCCATGTTGTTGCAAATGGTAGGATTTGTTTTCTTCTTTTTTTATTTTTTATTTTTTTATTTTGGTGTCATTAATCTACAATTACATGAGTGACATTATGGTTACTAGACTCCCCCCATCATCAAGTCCCCACCACATACCCCATTATAGTCACTGTCTATCAGTGTACTAAGATGCTGTAGAATAACTACTTGTCTTCTCTGTGTTGTACAGCCCTCCCCGTGCTCCCAACCCCCTACATTAAGTCTGCTAATCGTAATACCACTTTTCCCCCCTTGTCCCTCCCTCCCCACACATCCTCCCCGGTCCCTTTCCCTTTGGTAACTGTTAGTCCACTCTTGGGTTCTGTGACTCTGCTGCTGTTTTGTTCTTTCAGTTTTTTTCTTTGTTCGTACACACCACATACGAGTGAAATCATTTGATACTTGTCTTTTTCCACCTGGCTTATTTCACTGAGCATAATACCCTCTAGCTCCATCCATGGTATTGCAAATGGTAGGATTTGTTTTCTTCTATGGCTGAATAATATTCCATTGTGTATATGTACCAAATCTTCTTTACCCATTCATCTACTGATGGACACTAAGGTTGCTTCCATTTCTTGGCTATTGTAAATAGTGCTGCAATAAACATAGGGGTACATATGTCTTTTTCAAACTGGGCTCCTGCATTCTTAGGGTAAATTCCTAGGAGTGGAATTCCTGGGTCAAATAGTATTTCTATTTTGAGTTATTTGAGGAGCCTCCATACTGCTTTCCACAATAGTTGAACTAATTTACATTCCCACCAGCAGTGTAGGAGGGTTCCCCTTGTCTTGTTCCTGATCTTAAAGGAAAAGCTTTCAGCTTCTTGCTGTTAAGTATGATGTTGGCTGTGGGGTTGTCATATATGGTCTTTATTTTGTTGAGGTACTTGCCCTCTATTTTGTTGAGAATTTTTATCATGAATGGGTGTTGAATTTTGCCAAATGTGTTTTCAGCATCTATGGAGATAATAATGTGATTTTTGTCCTTTTTATTGATATATTGGATGATGTTAGTGGATTTTCAAATGTTGTACCATTGTTGCATCCCTGGGGTGAATCCAACTTGATCATGATGTATGATCCTCTTGATGTATTTTTGAATTTGGTTTGCTAATATTTTGTTGAGTATTTTTGCATCTCTGTTCATCAGGGATATTGTAATTTTCTTTTTTGGTGGGGTCTTTGACTTTCTGCCTTTTCATAGTCCTGGAGCGATGGGAATGGTCACCAGAGAGTGGCATGGGTGTCAGCTGGGAGCTCAAAGTTCCTTCCTGCTTTCTGGTCGCTGTACCTGTTTCCGCTCTCTGTTCCAGTTAATCGTGCACAGGGAGTAGCCTCTGGGTTAATCCCCTAAACTGCCATGGGTGGGTGGCCCTCGGGATGGACTGCTGGTGGGGGTCGCAGGTGAGCAGCACAGGTTCTGCCATGAGAACAAAGCCCCTTTGTGGCTCCTGGTCTCAGCGCCTGTCTCTGCTGTCTGTGCCGGTCAACCGCATGCAGGGAGCAGCCTCTGGGTCTGGGCTGGTTAGGCACATGCAGGAAGAAGCCTCTGTGTTAAGCTGTGTAGTTGCTGTAGGCGGGGCTGCCCTTCAGCTTGTCTGCAGCAATGGTGGGGACAGCCGGTTTGCGTACTCATGCCGGCGGGGAGGAAGGAGTGGCAAGCTGCTTATTGCAGTGAGGGGACTTGGGGCTGTCTTGCCAACCAGGGGACAGGGTGCCTGAAGCTCCTGAAAGTTCCCAAGCTGCTGGGCTGAGTGTGTCAGGACCATTTTGTCCACCTGTTTCTTCTCCTCACCCCTTTAAGACTTTTAAAGTGCTTGCTTTTCTTTTGTCCCAGGGCAGCCGGTTGTGGGAACCTGTTCACAGTCTTAATCTCCGAATTTTCTTTTCAGCCCCTTTAATATCCAGAGCATCATGCAATGTGGGTCTGTGCTTCTGAGGTAGATTTCTAGGGCCGGGGATTTAACAGTCCTGTGCTTCTACTACCTCCCTGCTCTGATTCTTTTCCTCCTGGTGAGCTGGGGTTGTGGGAAGTGCACAGGTTCCACTGGGTCGTGGCTTTTTACTTTACCCTTTTCCATGAGATGTTGATTTCTCCCAGATGTAGACTGGCTGGTGTACTGTTACTTCTGGTCACTTTTTTAGGAATAGTTGTATTTGCTGTATTTTCAAAATATATGTGGTTTTGGGAGGAGATTTCTGCTATACTACTCCCACCACCATCTTTTTCCTCTCATTTGTTGAGTCTGTCATTGATTTCTGTTCATATGTTTATTATTTCTTTCCTTTTGTTGCTTTAATTTTGCTATTCTTTTTCTCTTTCCTTTAAGGAGGTACTTAGATTACTGAGACCTTTCCATTACAAGGTAAGCATTAAGTTCTGTAAATGCCTCTCTATACTGCTTTAGCTTCATTCTACACATTTTGGTATGACGTATTTTCATTTTCATTCCATTTTGTGTATTTTTAGATTTCTCTTGAGATGTTCTCTTTGATCCACAGCTTATTTAGAATTCTGTTGTTCAATTTTGGCATGCTTAGGGATTTCCTATTGATTTCTAGTTTCATCCCATTATCGTTGGAGAATACACTTTGTATGATTTCAACACAATTATTTGAAAAGGCTATTATAAGGCTCATTCTTTTTAATATCTTCAATAGTTCATATGAAGCATTTTTTAAAAATACTTCAACCAAAACAATAGATCACATGCAGAAGCAGATGTGAGAACATAAGTTGTCTTCTATTAAGTCAAAAGGGATTTGCAAAAATATAAAGTAATACTATTCTTTACACTAAATGTGTTATTTTGGAAAATAGTTATTTTTCATATCAAATATGTTATTTAGGTAACATGTAATGGGTTTACCATTGTTATGTTGTTATTAATAAATTTTTTCAATTTTTCTTTCTTTAACTTAGATGTAATTGGCATGTAACATATTCATTTCAGTGTACACCATAATGATTTGATATTTGTGTACACTGCAAAATGATCACCACAGTAAGTCTAGTTAATAGTTGACATCCATCACCACACACAGTTACAAGATTCTTTTCTTGTGATAAAACTTTTAAGATCTACTCTCTTAGCAACTTTCAAATATACAATATAGTATTAACTACAGTCACATGCTGGACTTCATCCCCAGTTGTTTTTTATTTTTAAAACCGGAAGTTTATGCCTGTTGCTGCATGCCCGTGCACAACCCCCACCCCCCACAACCATTGGTCTGTTCTCTGAATCTATGAGTTTGGTTCCCCTGCCCTGTACCCATCCTTTGTTTTAATATTTCTATATATAAAGGGAGATCATACAGTATTTGGCTTTCTCTGTCTGAGTTATAAAATAACAGTATTAAGAATACAGTAAATGTCTGTAGATATAACCCATAAAGATAAAAGCTCTTTGGGATCCTCAGTAATTCCTAAGAGAGTGAAGAGGTCCTGAGATCAACAACTTTGAGAACTGCTGTCCGAGAGAAGCATACATAAAGATTTGGGCACAAACATGTCCACTTAAGCATTATTTTAGAAGTAAAAATGTAAAAACAAAGACTGCTCAGTAGTTCTCCAAAAACATCCTTTAAATTCACCTGTCTGCTCCCACCATTACTGCCCTAACTCAGCCATAATCCTACATCCAGATAAGGCCTGACAATGCTGAAAACCCCCTTCAGCTCAAAGCTCCCTGCGTGGTGAATGTACCGCAACAGCAGCTTCACTGGCCTCCTCGCTCTCCTCTACTCCAGGTGCTCACCAGATTAAATCTCAGTCCCTCAACCAAACTCCCCCTCACTTCAACCAAAGGAGCTTCTAAGTGAAACATCATCTGAACAGTAAGTTCCAAGCATTTTTTTCAAAGGTTTTAAAAGCACTATGTTAAATGCATCTAACCAATAACCAGAAAATCCAGACTGTTACTTTTCCTTCTGTTCCTTGAACAAGGGCTGATTATGCCGTCTCAACCAAAGGCAGTTCAGTTCCAAACAGCTTTGCACAACCAAAGGAACATTAAACTTTGGAATGTATCTACCTCAGATGAGGTCACCAAAACTGGCTTTTTCAAAACTGAGAGAAACAATTACACAGATAACAACATAAAGGTATACTGATTTCCCACTGATAAGTAGTAAGAGTGTGCTCTTATCCAGGGATGGAAATTATAAAAAGAAAACGTTCTGTCAGTGTGAACAGAGATCTGGTATAGAAGCAGTAAGTCATGGAGGAGGAGGAAAGAGATAGGCATTCTATGGGATTTCTGGGCAGCAGGCTAAACAGCATGGCATTTTCATACTTGCCCATTATCATATCACCTCATCTTTACCTCCACTACAAATGTGTCAATAATGTGCTCCTGGGGCAGGAACCAGTGGGCTACTTCTTCTTCATCCATCACTGGGGCTAGATGAAACTGCTTTAGGTAACTGTTGGTTAATTCTTGAACTGCTTTGATATCTCTTGGTTCCATTGGTCTCAAGCCTGACGTCTTTGTAGCCTTGTGAAAACAAAACAAATTAGGAAATTTAAATATAAGGGGTAAAAGTACTTTGTGCTGAAATGCGACCTGCAGACCAGCTGTATGAGTATCACACAGGTGCTTGTTATAGCTGCAGAATCTTGGCACCAACCCAGATCCCTGTCAGAATCTGCAGCTTAACAAGATTCCCTGGTGATCAGTACACACATTAAAGTTTGAGAAGCACTAAATTAGGATACAGGCTAGACAATGTGCTGTCTTATCTCTGTGCATCAGATCTTCAGTCAGTATTGCCCACAACCCAAACAAAATCAAAAAGAACACTGTAAGTGGATCTGTGTACCAATGGTAGGCATTTTAACAACCTACCACAGGGCAGAACAATGTTAGCATGTGTTCTGTAGAGTTGGCCTTTAGGGCTGCCCTGTCTGACATTTTGAAAGCACAACTGAAACAGTTGAGATGCTCATTTTATCCAGTGGCCCAGAATAGGATGTAGCTGTTTTGTCCTCATGAGCAACAGAAATGAAATAAAAGTAAATTATATTGGTCAGAATGGGAAGGCAAGCATTTTAACAGCCAAGTATTTTCTAAAAGCAAATGGCTGGCTGCCAAGTACTGGCACTGGCCTCTCATGCTATCTTTTGATTAAAAGGTTGGTATTTGAATCCATCATTTCAGAGCATCAGAAGTTTTACATTAGGTCATATGAACAAAATAACCTAAAGGACAGGACAGGTCCCCATTTGGATTTGTATAACTGCCTGTCCTCAAAAGAGATCCAAACATCTCTTGGCTCTCTGTCCAGACACCAGGACATGTGAGAAAACCCAGTACATTTGCTTGTTTGCATGAACAAAATATCAAAGACTGAGAAATACAATATCATTTTTCCAGTTAACTTCATTTTTTTCTTGAAGTAATACTGTATACATTTTAAGCAATAAATAACCTGTTTATAAATATTGTACTCTATCTTTTCTGTCCTAAATTATTTCTAAATATTTTAAAATTAAAAACTGCCTCTAAAATTAGATCACTACAATTCCTGCATGCCCCCAGACTGGTAGCAAAGTAGAAGCCCAAGGTGGAAGATAGGTTCTCATCTCGAGTGCCAGCTCTGTTCAATGTTAGCAATTGGGCTGTGGTTTCTAAAGTCCTGTGACAAAGAATGCTGACTGCTTACTGAGTAGTTGTTTGGAGGAGATGGGAGATGCGTTCTTCGTATTTACAGACCCAATGGTCCTTAGCTGAGTATTTTATGTGCCACTCAGTTATGATCTATATAATCTATAAAGACAGTAATGCAGATAAAATGCAGTTTAGTAGTTTAAATTAAGAGAATTTAAGTCCTTAACACTTAAAAGAGAACTCATAAATCTAGCCTTTCCATGGATCTCAAAGCCAAAGGACAAGAAATCTCCAGGTCCGGCTTCCATCCAAGGCTTAACCCCCTCAGGCAAGCTCGGCAGTAACAGCCCGGATATGTGTTGTACAAATGAATGAATGCATGTTTCGTACCACAGTGATTTACCCAATAAGGTGAGGCAAAAGCTGAAGACATGAAAAAAAAGTTACTGTCAGCTCTGAAAAGATGACACCTTTATGGCCTGGCATATAAATGTGCAAGCCAGGCATTAAAGTCTTTTTTTTGTTTCTTTCTCCTAAGCCAATTTTAATATTTTGTAGCATTTCTTCACTGAAACTCATGGGAAGAAGGAATCTATGTGATTCCCAAATACTGTTAAGTGTAATAAATATACTCTTCTAAATGCTGTAGGAGGATCAAAACCATACAGAATGGATAGAGCAATATTCAAAAAGATTATTTTCTGCTGTGAGCATGACCTTGACAAATTTGGAATAGCTTTTCTCAATATTAGATTGTTTTTCTTTTGTTACTGGTTCAGTAACAGTATCAAGCAATTAGATTAGTTAATAAAAGCAATAGGGTACATGATATTTGTTAATAGAGAACATTCAGGAAGAAAGAACTTGCCAACTTCTTTCTTGAGCAAAATATTGTTGTGCTGTACACTTCCCTTTCACTGAGACAATGTAAATCAATAAAACTGTCTTTTTCCCAGCAGACATCCTTAAAGAAGCAGCTCTCATTTTGGTCTGGGACCCCTATACACTCTTAAAAATTATCAAGTATCTCCAAAGAGCTTTATGTTTATGTGCATTATCATCCCATATTTATTGTACTAGAAATTGAAACTGAGAAACCTTAATAAACAAAAGAATGTATGGGCTTAAAGATGGTAGCGTAGAGATGAGACAGAAACCTCCTCCCAAAGTCACGTATATTATGAAAATATAGTAAATACAACTAATCCTGACAGAATAACAGGAAAGAATGCTATGACAGACTGCCTATATTACATCTGCAGAAAAGAGGAGACCTTACAGAAAAGGGTAAAGTACCAAAGCCATGATCCAGTGGGATGCAGGCCCTTCCCTCACCCTGGCTCACCAGTGGGAGGAAGAGAAACAGAGCAGGAAGCGGGTGGAAGGCTAGGACTGCTGAACACCCAGCTCTGGAGATCTGCTCTGGGGGCATGAACCTACATTACATGGTGCTCTGGAGATTAGTGGGGTTGGAGAGCTAAAAGAGGCAGAATACTCAGAGAGACTGAGATTCCAGCTGCTTGTGGAGAACAGCTACCTACAACTGGCTGCTCTAGAACAAAAGAAAGGCGGGCAGTCTGCAAGACTTCCCAAGAGTGAGAGGACTGCTAAAGGGGCAAGGATTGAGCAGAGCTTGCTGCTCAGGAAAAGGACAGGTGGACAAAAGTGTTTAACACACTCAGCCGAGCAGACTGGGAACTTTCAGGAGCTTCAGGTGTTCCATTCCCCTGGCTGGCAATGTAGATCTGAGGCCCCACCACTGTGATACGCGGCCTGCCACTCCTTCCTCCCAGCTGGCACCGGTTCGCAGATCTGTTGCCCACGCCATTGTGCCAGGCCAGCAGAACGGTGGCCCCGCCTATGGCAGTGAGAAGGGAGTAGAACGGAGGCTCCTTCCTGTGTGTTTGGCCCACTGGCCCTGGCAGTGGAGGCATGCACTGCAGCCAGGAGGCAGGAAAGAGCTCTTTCCTTCTGGCAGGCACCAGTGCTGGTTGCCTGTGACCCCTGTCATTGCTCCAGGGGCTGAGCAGCTCCAGAGAGTAGAGCATCTGGGCACTAGAGAGCGCCACTTACAAATATGAAATGTCAAAGGAACCTGCTTCAAACCAAAATCCCAGAAAGAGGGCCAACTGAAACTGAAGTCACAAGTCTTTCTGAAAGAGATTTCAAAATAAAAATCATAAACATGCTCAAAAGATTATTTTCATAGAGATTTTCATAGAGATTTCATAGAGATTACTATGAAAAATTATATGCTATAGTACACTCCATCCAAATGCAGCAGGATACACATTCTTCTCAAGTGCCATGGAACATTTTACAAAATAGATTGTATACTAGACCACAAAAAGAGCCTCAGTAAATTCAGAAGGATTGAAATTTTACCAACCAGCTTCTCAGACCACAAAGGTATGAAACTACAAATAAATTGTACAAAGAAAACAAAAAGCTCACAAACACATGGAGGCTGAACAACATGTTCCTAAATAACCAATGCTTCAATGAACAAATAAAAAGAGATTAAACAATATATGGAGATGAATAAAAACAATAACTCAACACTGCAAAATCTGTGGGATGCAGTGAAGGCTGTGCTAAGAGGGAAGTATACAACAATAGAGGCTTACCTCAGGAAAGAAGAACAATCCCATATGAACAGTCTAAACTCACAATTAACAAAACTAGAAAAAGAAGAACAAATGAGTCCCAAAGTCAGTAGAAGGAGGGACATAATAAAGATTAGAGCAGAAATAAATAAACTCGAGAAGAATAAAACAGTAGAAAGAATCAGTGAAAGCAGGAGCTGGTTCTTTGAGAAAATTAACACAATAGATAAGCCCCTGGCCAGACTTATCAAGAAAAAAAGAGAGTCTACACACAGAAACAGAATCAGAAATGAGAAAGGAAAAATCACCACAGACACCACAGAAATACAAAGAATTATTAGAGATTACTATGAAAAATTATATGCTAACAAACTGGATAACTTAGAAGAAATGGACAAGTTTCTAAAAAATACAACCTTCCAAGACTGACCCAGGAAGAAGCAGAAAATCTGAACAGATGAATTACCATCAATGAAATTGAATGGGTAACCAAAAACTATGCAAGAACAAAAGTCCCAGACCAGATGGCCCCACTGCTGAATTTTATCAGACATTTAGAGAAGACACAGTAACCATTCTCCTTAAAGTTTTCCAAAAAATAGAAGAGGAGGGAATACGTCCAAACTCATTCTATGAAGCCAGCATCATTCTAATACCAAAAACAGGCATAGACACCACAAAAAGGGAAAACTACAGACCAATATCCCTGAAGAACACAGATGCAAAAATACTCAACAATATATTAGCAAACCGAATTCAAAAATACATCAAAAGGATCATATACAATGATCAAGTGGGATTCATCCCAGGGATTCAAGGATGGTACAACATTAAAAAATCCACTAACATCATCCACTATAACAATAAAAAGGACAAAAATCATATTATCATCTCCATAGTTGCTGAAAAAGCATTTGACAAAATTCAACACCCATTCATGATAAAAACTTTCAACAAAATGGGTATAGAGGGCAAGTACCTCAACAAAATAAAGGCCATATATGACAAACCCACAGTCAACATCATACTTAACAGTGAGAAGCTGAAAGTTTTTCCTTTAAGATCAGGAACAAGACAAGGATGCCCATTCTTCCCACTTTGATTCAATATAGTACTGGACGTCCTAGTCACAGTAATCAGACAACACAAAGAAATAAAAGGCATCATATTGGTAAGGAAGAAGTCAAACTGTCATTGTTTACAGATGACATGATGCTGTACATAAAAAAAACCCTAAAGAATCCACCCTGAAACTACTAGAATAACTGAATTCATTAAAGT